CGGCCTTGGGCAAGCTCGTTTCTGTCCTCTGCACCCGCTGTGCCGGGGCGGGGGCTCAGGTGGTGGCAGGGGGATGAGCTCCCTGCGCCGTGGGGACGATGCCGGCGCAGCCAGCCCTGCGCCCGCACTCGCTGCCAGCCCTTCGCTCACTGGGTTGTTAGCACGCCGGCTCCGTCTGCTCTGTCAGAAGGTAAAAACTCCGGTAATTAAGATGTTTCTTCGTTAGGCAGCATCACCGGCAGAGCTCGCTTTAACAAGCTCGGGGGGGGAAAAATGTGCCAGTGGGGAGTGAGCTCCGCTGATTGATGGAGCGAAGTCTGGATGGAGCCGCAAGAGCCTGGGTTAAAAAAGTGATTTACTCAGTCAAACCCGGTCGCCTCCTCCCGCAGCCCGGCTCCGTCGCGGGAGCAGATGGCAGGAGGAAATATTCCCGGCTGCAAGGCGAGCTCTGCCAGCTGCGCCCGGCGAGGGGGAAGCGGGGATCGTGCTGGGAGGTGGAAACTCTTTGCAGTTACTCACCAACTTCAGGGCTGCCTGCCTGCCCGGTGGCCACTGCCAGCCACCCTGGGCTTGCCCACGGCGCTTTTTTGGGCACAGGCTGAGCCCAGGGGCAGGGCTGGGGGTTTTGCCTGCTGGGGTGCCCATCCCAGGGGGCGGAAGGGTGAAACACAGGTGGCCCCAGCATGCCCACGTCCCCGTCCCTGGTACCTCTGCCCCCTGCATCCGTCCTACGGGGTGGGGGGGGATCCTTGGGCAGAGGTGGGGAATCTGGAGAGGGGATTTGGGTCACGCAGCGACATCTGCACCGCGCCGGTGGCTCGGGGTGCTGCGATTGCTGCAGCAGTTTGGCGAGGTACCCATCGCTGTGGTGGGGAGGCAGCTGGAGAGCCCGGACATCGTCCCTGTCCCCCCAGCCCCGAGCTCTGCCTGCTGTGGCAGCCACTGGCAAGGGGCTGATCAGCCCGACACGGCCGCTGCCAGCGCGGGGGGCCGGGGGGGCCGCGATCACAGGGAGCTGGGAACCGTCGCGGCCGTTCCCTCTCTGTCAGCGTCGACCCCTCTGTCCTCGCACATTCGCCCGGCTGTGCCACGGGGGGAGGCGGGGGGACGGGGAGGTGAGTGCCCCCCGCACACGGGGCCCGGGCTGCGGCAGGACGTGAAGGTTTACACGCCTGTCGTGCCGTGGTCAGTCCTGGGAGCAGGCTGGGGGCAAAGGCAGCAGGAGCCGGCCGGGGAAGCGGCTCGGGGGAGCATCCTGCGCTGAGCTCAGCCCCGCGGCCGCAGCCAAGCCCCGGTGCGGCAGGGATGCGGCCGCGCTCCCCACCACGGCCCCTGCCAGGACCGGGGACGAGCAAAACAGCAGCTGCTTTCCGGGCAGCCCCGGCCGAGCCCAGTGCGGTTCCGGAGGGCAGCAGGGCCGGGGGCTGGGGCCCATCGCCTGCTGCAGCCGCTGCCAGAACAAGGGAGGGGTCAGTGACAGGGTGACAGGCGATGGGAATAACCCCCCCCCCCATGCGGGGGGGGCAGGCGATCCAGCCAGGCCGCCCTTGCCGCTTGGGCTCTGCAGCGTGGGGCAGCATCTGTGCACCCAGATCTGCATCGCCGTGGGTGCAGGCCCTGCTGCCCTGCCGGGTGGGTCCCCAGGGACTTGGCTGCACCCCGAGCATCTGTGCCTGGGGGGACGTGGGGCTGCAGCCCTGTGTGCCCTGGGATGCGGGTTTGGCTGTGCTGAGCCTGGAGCCCCCCCCTCGGTGCTCCCAGCCAGCCCCACTGCGGGTATCAGGGATGTTCCCAGTGTCAGATCCGGCTGTCCCCAAGGCGCCACCAGGCCTGGAGATGCCCCAGAGCATCTGCCCCAGGAGGGGCCGGGTTCTGTGGCCAACCCCAGGGCATGGCCGCAGGGCCTGGCACCTCCCAGGGCCGTGGGCAGGGATGTGCCCCTCGCCCACCCTGGGGTCCCCTCACCGGGGCCGGACTGCACGTCCCGAGACCCCCAGTCCCACTGTGGTGGGGCTTCCGGGGGGGGGCACTGCCGGGATTTTGGGGGGAAGCGGGGCCAGATGACCAGAACAGCTGGAGCTGCTTGGGGGGTCCCCCAGGGAGCTGCATCCCCCCGGGGAGGGCCGGGGGGTGCCCGGGGAGGCGGCGGGCTGGACTACAGGTCCCGGCATGCCTGGCCGCGCTCCGCACCTGCCCGGGGAGCGGCTTTTGTTATCGGCGGGGCCGCGGGAGCGATGTACCAAGGCCCCGCCGCCGCCTCCGCGCAGGGAGCAGCGCCCAGCGGTGAGTGCGCCCCGGGACCCCCGCTGAGCAAGATCTATTGTCCCCGGGACCCCCACTGCACCGAGACCTATCACCCCTGGGATCCCCGCTGCGCCGAGACCCATCGCCCCGGGACCCCCCACTGCACCGAGGCCCCGGCTCTCCCAGTATCTCACCCCCGCTCCGGGTGGGATCGTGTCCCCGCTGCCATCGGGTGCACTGTGCCTCCAGCTCCCCCCAGTGTCCCACTTTCCCCTGGGTGCACCGAGCCCCTACACCTCCGGGCACCCCAAGTCCGCGGGCAGCCCTGGCAGGCGAGCCTCGGGCTGTGCCCAGCCGGTCCCCAAATGTCCCCTGGGGGTGTCACAGTCGGTGGCTGCCGGACCCCCCGCTGCATAATTGGCCTCATCTCACCCCTTCTCCCTGCACTCAGCTACCCCCCACAACCCCACTCCCACGCTTTGCTGCCGAGGCCTTCACCCCTGCCCCGGGTGGGATTTCCCACTCTCTCAGCATTAGTGGGCAGGGGCCATGGTAGGGACGGGATCCCGGGGGTCCCGGGGGATGGTTTGGCCACAGCAGTGGCCGGCTGGGGGGTGGCGAGCGGGGTCTGGCTGCGCTTTGGGGTCCCCGATGCGTGAAGCAGGAAGTCTGCGCGGGAGCGGGGAGGGTTTTCCTGCTCTGCGGGAAGAAGCTGCCGCTGCTGGGGATGTTTCTGCAGGGGGAGGGGAGCGGAGGACGGAGCCCCTTGGCCCCAGGGACCCCCGGCGTGGTCGGCCACGGCGAGATCTGCGGCAGGGGCAGAGCATCGGGTGCTGGGGGGCTGCGGCAGAGCAAAGGCGACAGAGCTGAGCGGCTGGGGCAGGAGCCCACCCCCCCGACGGCCTCGGGTGCAGGGGGAGCCCCATTTCTGAACGATGCTTCAGGCAGACGCTGCCTCCCGGGGTCACCTGAGCATCGGGGGGGGGGGGGGGGATTGAAGGGGCTGTGGGAGCCACAGCCCGGGCGCGTCTGTCCCCTTCCCTGCGCAACAGCAGGGGTGTCCCCAGCCCCAGCCCGGGGGGCTCTGCTGGGACCCCTCCGGGGACATCCCCTGGGCTGGGGCAGGGCGGGACTGCAGCTACCCCCACCCCTGCGTGGGGCTGAGCCACCGCCTCGCCCCTCACATCAGCCTCGCATGTCTGCAGCCCCCCAACCCAGGCACTCGCGGGGGCTCCTCGCAGCCCCCCCGACCCAGCCCCAGGCTCCTGCCGCAGCAGCTGAAGGGAAAAAATAGCCCGGCAGGAGCCCAGATGCCCCAGCACCGCTCAGCTGCCGCCGGCGCTGGGGTGCAGGGTGGGGAAGGGGCCCAGGCGGGCCCCCCCCGCGGGGCTGCGCAGGCAGGGAGGTGCCCGGGCAGGAGCTGTGTGACGGCGTGGGGCAGGGCAGGGAGCAGCAAGTCTGCATGGGCACCCGAGCGTGGGCCGAGCCGGGGCCCCAGCGCTGGGGGTCACCATCCTGCTCCTGTCCAGCTCCCCTCCAGCCCCGAGGGGCAGGTCCCTGGGTCATCCACAGGCTGGTGGCTGGGGGGGGACAGCAGGGTCCGGGAGCGATGGGAGCTGCTCGCACGTGTCTGAACAAGGTTTCCCCTGGGGAGAGTTAATGTACGTGCAGGAGCTGGGCCAAAAGGAGACGCAGGGCTCTGGCAGCCCCGGCCGAGAGCTGACTCACCGGCCAGGCTCCCCCCCCGGAGCCAGCGGCAGCGGGGCAGCGGCAGCCCGGCACCTCGGCACGGTGGGTCCCCTTCCTCCTCCGGGGAGAAGCAGGGAGGGAGAGGCTCTGCGGGTGTGGAGCTGGGGAGCGGTTCCCCGGGGCAGCTCGGTGCAGGATTGGGCCGCCCAGGTCTGGTGGTCCCAGTGCCGGGGGGCAGGGGACGGTGGGGCTGCGGGTGTGCTTCGGGGTGTGCATGTTGCCTCGTGCCTGTCCCCCGTGCCAGGGAGGGATCCGGCCTCGCTGGAGGGAGGTGCAGGGTGGCCTGGCCTGGGCGCTGCGGGCGTGAGAGCAGCTGTGAGCACGTGCCGGGAGGGAGAGCAGGGGGGCCCTGGCACGAGCCCTCTGCCAAGGATGAGGGGCTGCAGCCGGCGCGGCCCCCGCCGCAGCAGAGGTGGGGATGGGGCAGGGCAGAGGGTCAGCAGCAGTGCCAACAGCGGCTGCAGCCCGCGCTGGGGCCGCTGGAGGTGGCAGAAGAGCAGGAACGTGCTGGTTTTATGGCCTGTCCCGTGATGTGTTTATGGCTGGGATGGGACGGCCATGGATGCTGCCCAGCCCTGCCCCGGGCGACACGGCAGGTCCCTGCTTCGCATCCTGGTGCTGCTGGGGTGGAGGATTCAAGCCGAACTTTGCTCTCCAAGGTGGGGCTCCCGCGGGCTCCTGCCGGCACCTCGGCCGTGTCCTCCCACTGCCGAGCGGCTCTACGGCTCCTTCCCCTGCCCGCTCCCGCAGCGGGGACCCAGCAGCGAACCCGGGGAGAGCAGGGTCCTGCCTCGTCCCTTCGGAGCATCCCCTCCCCTGGCCTGCACCGGCGCTGATCTGGACATCACCAAGTGTTTGCTTCGGTGCTGAGCCCCCCACGTCACGCAGAGGCCACTGCAGAGGCGACGCTGAGCAGGTACGCTGACCCAGCACCATCCCCGAGACCGCCCCGCTGGCTCTTCCTACGGTCCCCCCATCCCCGCAGCAGGCTGGGGGCTGGTGGGGCAGCGGGGACACCTGAGCCCTGGCCGTGCTGCCCAGGTCTCCACAAGCCCCCGACCTGGCAGATGTTGCCCCTGGGGAGGGTGTTTGGTGCTGGCCAGATGCAGGGGGGTCAGGATGTGTCCCTGGTCCCTAGAGCATCACCCTCACAGCTCCTTCTCCCCAGGCAGGGGCGGGAGAAGGGGCTCTGCTGCCCGCCAGCGCCGCTCCAGGGAGCCAGGCAGGAAGGTGCTTCTCCCCATGGCAGCCGGCCCCCCCCCCGTAACGCCAGCCAAACTGGACACCGCGGTCCCACGAGAGAACCCCCCCGGCCAGTGCCCGCCCGCCCGCCACCTCCAGCCCAGCCCGGACTCGCCCGTCGCTGCTCTGCCCCACACCAGCCCCACGTCCCACGGGCCGGCCACTGGCAGACGCCGCGATGCCGCGACCGTCACCGGTGGGTAGAGCCGGGCGCTGCCCGTGGGTGGCCCTGGGGACCAGGGTGAGGTGCTGGGGCAGCTCCGGGTTGGTCCTTCGTCCTGTCCCTATTGTGTGGCCGGCGCTGAGCCGCTGTCCCAGCACCCCTGGCCTGCTGTCCCCAGCACCGCTGGGCCGGGCAGAGCGTGGCCAGGAGATGGCAGCAGGACCCTGCCCGCAGGGAGCGGGGGGCTGAGGGGGGAGCAGGGGACAGCTGGGGAGGGGGTCCCTGTCTGCCACCCTGCGGGGATCTCCCACTCCCTTCACGAGTGGCTTTGGGGGCAGACCTGGCTGGTGGCACCAGCGCCCAAAACGCCGAGGGGACAGTCTCCCCAGCCCCCGACCCTGCACCCCCCTCCTCCCGGGTGCCCCCCACCCTCAGCTGATGCCATTGTCCCTCTGTCCCCAGACCTGTGCAGCAGGGATGTCCCCGAGGTGGAGATCATCAGCCTGCTGGGCGAGCGGCTGCCCCGCTACACGCTGCGGGCTGACACTGTCTTCGGCTACGACCACGACGACTGGCTGCGTGCCCCCCCTGGCCCCCCAGAGCCCGCGGCCCCCCTCACCCCCCGGCAGATCGAGGAGACCCTGCAGTACTTCCGTGAGTGCCTCGTCCCGCACCGTGGGGCCGGCGAGGGCAGTGGGGTGCGGGCAGCACCGGCTGCGCTGCGAGGGCAGCCCGGGAGCTAATCACTGCTAATTGGATCGATGGGCTGGATTTCCTTGCCCAGAACATCCCGGGCTAATTCTGGGAGCAGCTTCTGCTGAGCCGAGAGGGATGCTTGGAAAGAGCCTCCGTTGTGTCCCGGGACCCCCTGCCCTGTGCCATGGCTCTCTGGGGGGGACGCTGGCGGGGGGCTGGCAGAGCCTGCACCAGTGGCCCCCAGTGCTGCTGCCCCACCAAACATGACAGCCTGAAGCAGGCGAGGGGGGCACAGGGCCACTGCTGCTGGCAAAGCCCCCGGAGCTGTGGGTGCTGGTGCCCAGGGGGGACACCCAGAGCCCCCGTGGTGGGGCAGGGGTGATGCCCTGTGGCGGCGGCTCATTGCTGGCATGGGGTCGCAGTTCAGCGGGGGGCACAGGCGGATTATCTCTGCTTTGCTTCTGCCTCTGGCTCACGTGTGGCGGGGACAGGATTAGGGCGAGGGGCTGGGGGATGGATGTGGGGCAGTGGGAGACAGATGGGGCTGAGGCCCCGGCCCTGCCGCTGGCGTCAGCTCCCACCCCCCCGCCTGCGACAGGCTGGGCTGGGGACAAACCCCCGTCGTGCCCTGCCTGCGCTTGCAGCCTTCCCCTCCCAGCTGCTCCCCTCCCTGCTCAGCAGGCAGCGGGGTGCGGCCCCCCCAGCCACCAGCACCCCCTTACCCCGCTGTGACAGTGCAAGGGATTGAGCCCCAAACCCTGTCCGCGTGCCATGGGGCCAGGAGCACCCGGCTCAGCAGGACCCCGGGCACCCCCGTCCCTGCTCGGTGGGGACAGCCGTGCTTGGCCCCGGGAGCCCCGGGGGTCACGTTTCTCCGTGCCTCCCGCGTGTGCTGACGTGGAGGGGGCCCGTGCTGCCTCATCCCTTTACCCAAACCTTTAAGCTGCCATCAGAAATAGCCCCCCGTAATCTGCTTGCGCAGAGACGCAGGGGACCTGCCCGGAGGAGCAAATCCCTGGGCAGGGCATTAGGAAGAAGCGGCTCCTGCCTGTCCGTGCCCAGACGCACCCTTGTGTCCTTGGGGTCCCCGGGGGTGGGTGCCGGGGTGAGCTGGCTGGGCCCCTGCCCTCGCACTCTGCCGTCACCGGGAGAGATTCAGGTGCAGCTCCAGCCCCAGCCTCCTCGATTCATTGATCAGTTTGGTGCTAACGAGGGGCGGTGCCGGGGCAGGCGATCAGCGCGTACGTTGGCATTGCCGTGGTGCCGTGGGGTGCTCGGCGCAGCCCCCCCTGCCCTCCCGCCCACCAGGCCTGTGCTACGTGCCAGCCAGCTCCTCCATAATTCAGCGCGGCGTGGTTTATGCAGCTCTCCTGTTTCAGTGCTGCCTCTGCGCAAGGGTGGCTGTGGGGGAGCTGGGGGTGCCAGCGGGGAGCGTGGGGCGGCCGGGATGGGGTATGGGGGGGGCCAGGCTCATGCCAGCCCATGCTCAGAGTAGGGGAGTGCTGAGCGGGGCAGGCTGGAGGGGGATGGAAAAGCCCTTTCCTGGCTCAGGGACCCGGCAGGTCCCAGCACTGCACTGGGCACCCGTGCGCGCAGGATTTGCGGTGAGCTGTGTCGATGATGATGATGATGATGGGGGACCCAGGCCCGGGGCAGACGAGCGAGGCTGGGCAGGCGTGTGTGTGGGGGGGAGCTGTGGTGTAGCCTGGCCATCGCGGGGACCCCAGCCCTGCACACAGTCTGGGTTTGGGGTGAAGGACCCAAAACCTCTCCCTGTCCCTCCTAAGGAGCAGAAGCTGCCCTCTGTGCGTGGCGCGCTGGGTCAGTGCTGCAAAGCTGCTGCTCAGGGACCAGTGACCCCTCAGTGTCCCCTCCCAGCAGTCAGCACTCACCAGGCCCCCCCCCCGCCGTGCCCATCAGCACCCCAGGGCTGAGCAGGATCCTCCCGATGGGTCCCTGGGGTGCCTGCTGGGGAGCGTGCCTCCAGGGTGCTCCGATGGGGACCGTGGCCCCAAGGTTCCCCGGGGGGAGCGGGAAGCCGCAGCGACCCCGCTCCACGCCGCGGGGGGAGCGGGCAGCCCCCGGCCCCGCCGCCCCCGCCCCTCTCCCGCCCGGTACCGCCCCCGGCCCCGGTGGGACGCGCCCGGGCAGGTGCGCGCAGACGGGGCGACCCCATAAATAGGGGCGGGAGCGGCCGCCCGGGCCGGGCTGCGGTGGGCTGGGCGCGATGGAGATCTGGAGCAGCCCCGCTGCCTACGACGAGCTGAGCGGGCGGGCGGAGCGGGGCGGCGGCACCGACCCCCTCGCCCGGGAGCTGGAGGAAGGTGAGGGCGGCCCGGGCCGGTCCTGCGCGGGGGGGCGTGGGGGGGTGGGGGGCCGGGGTCTCTCCCCCGGGTGGGAGCCCTCGCCCTCCCCGCCGCGGGGTGCGCAGCCCCCCCGGCCCCCGCTCGCCGTGCGCCATCCCCGGGGAGCTGCTGCCCGATCCCTTGGGGGGGCCCCGGGGTCACCCTGAGCCCCAGGGAGGGTGCCGGGGGGTCCCCGCCAGGTCTGTGTGTGCCCGTGGGGCTGGGGTCTGCCCGGCCCCGGGGCGCGGGTCCCCGCACCGCGCTGGATCAGGCCCGCGCGTGTTTACGTGTTTGCCAGCGCCGCAGCCCCCCGTGTCTCCCATGGCCTGCTGCTCGCTCAGACTGTAACGATGCTCATGCTCTAATTATTTCCAATTAACGGCTCAAGGGCCTGACGAGGTGCAGTTGAGGACCCCTGTGGGGAGCAGGCCCTGGTGGGATGGGGGGGGGGGGGGGGTGAGGCTGGGGCTGGGGGTTGGCCCCTCTCCCTGCGGACGTGCCCACTGGGGTATGTGCCCACTGGGGTGCAGGGCCAGCACCCTGAGCAGTGGGGACGGGGTGGGGACGGGGTGGCTGGTGGGGGGCATTGCCATGACAACTCACACACCTTTACACAACCCCAGCTGGGGCAGCGTAAGGGGATTTGTGTGGCTGAGCCTCTCCCATTAACCCACTTTGTCTGCCTGGGGAGCGCGCCCGTGGCTGGGGACGCGAGGCCCGGAGCACAGCCAGCGCTGCTCTGCCAGGGGAAACTGAGGCACGCGCCCGTGGGGCGCTCGGATGTCAGAAGGGAGCCCCAGGAACAGCTGTGGGGTGCAGGCAGGGCCCGGGGTGCAGGCAGGGCTCGGGGCTTCGTGCTCGCTGCTGGCTCCCTCCCATCGTGCAGCTCCAGCGCTGCCATCTGGGTGCATGCCCGGCGCTGTCTGGCAGCTTCTGCGGGCACAGTTGGCAGGATTGGTGCCGGGGAGGGGGGACACACACATGACAGATGTCCCCATCCTCGTACCACCTCTCCCTGCCAGAGACCCAGCTCGCGGCCGGGGGGGAGGCCGGGCGTTAGCGGGGGCCCGATGCTGTGGTGCGTGGTGGTGCCGTGGCAGGCGGCTGCCCTTGCCCCCGCGCTCAGAGCGGGATCGCTGCGCTGCTGCAGCTGGGGGGGGCACCGGGGGGGTGGGGGGGGCGGCGTCCCGAAAGGATGCGCTCGGCTCTGCCTCGGCCAGTGTCTCCGAGGAGAAACTAGGGCAGGGCTGGCTTCCTGGGGGCAGATCTGGGGGAGGGGGCTGGGGACAGATTGGAGGGGACGCTGCCTGTGAGCCCGGCTCGGCACGGTGCCACCCACCGCTATTTATACAGGAGCTCCAGCCTGCTTTTTGCTGGAGATGTCACCTCCAATCCTGTCTCTGCTGCCTGCCTTCCCCCATCCCTCCTCCCCGTCTGTGTCCTGCCGTGGGGCTGGCACTGTGTTCCAGCTGGGGTGGTGGGCGCAGCGAGGGGGGCTCAGCACCTTTCCAGCTGCCCCAGGATGCGGGCAGGGTTTGGGGGTGAGCTGGGAGCACCCCATTTCCCGTGATGCTGTCACAGCTGTGAGCATTCCTGCACCACGGCTGGTGCTGCCAAGCAGATAAAAGGTCCATTTTGGTGACCAGCAGCTCTGTGGGCCTGCAGCAACCACCCCCCATTCCCTCCGCTGTGCAACCCCCGTGCGTTGCCGGTGGGAAGCAGCGACATGGGGCAGGAGGCGGCGGGGGGGACAGTGCTGAGCCCCGGGGCCCGCGTTCCTGCAGTGCCGGGGGTTCACCCTTCGCCCTTCTCCCCCAGTCCTGTGCACTGAGCGGGTGGTCAGGATCACGAAGACCTACCACGACATCGATGCCGTCACCAACCTGCTGGAGGAGGTACGCCTGTGGGACCCCCGGGATGCAGGGGTGGGCGAGGGCTGGGGGCAGAGCAGGGGATGGGCCCCCCGCTGACACAGACCTGCCCTTTGCAGAGGGAGCGGGACCTGGAGCTGGCGGCGCGCATCGGGCAGTCCCTGCTGAAGCAGAACCGGAGCCTGACCCAGCGCAACGAGCTCCTGGAGGAGCAGCTGGAGTTGGCCAAAGAGGAGGTAACGCCCGGGGGCACAGGGCCCGGGGGCCGTGGGCGGCTGCGGTCCCCTCGGCTGAGCCCTGATTGATGCCCCTTCCCCTCCCAGATCGCGCAGCTGCGCCACGAGGTCTCCATGCGGGATGACCTGCTCCACTTCTACACCACCACGACAGAGGAGAGCGAGCCCACCTCCGCCACCTCCACGCCGTGAGTGGGGGGGTCCCTGTCCCACCGCTTGCCCGGGGCAGGGCGCTGCTCCTGGGGGGCCAGGCAGAGGCGCTGGGCAGGAGCTGTCACTGTCCAGCACCGGGGCTGGCACTCCTTTCCCTCCCACGGTGGCCGTGGCTCCAGCCCCATGGAGCTGGGTCACTGCAGACGCCTACCAGGGAGCTGGGGGGAGCGGATGGGGGGGGGGCAGCCCCATCCTGACTGCACTGCAGGTGCTCAGCGCCCTCCCTGCTGTCCCCAGCCTGTGCCGGCACGAGTCCTCGCTGTCCCTGCAGCAGTACTTCCAGTACGACACCCTGCAGCAGAAACTCAAGTGCCTGGAGGAGGAGAACCAGAAGCTTCGCCTGGAGGTGAGCGGAGCCGACCCCCTCCGCTCCCACCTCCACCCCGCTCACTGCTGGGGGAGCTGAGCTGGCCCCCGGGGAGGCCGGAGCCCCTGCCCGTCCCGCTCAGCCCCTCCGATCCTCTCCCCCAGGCCACCAACATCGCAACCAAGACCTGCCAGTACGAGGACCGGGAGCAGCAGCTGATGATCGACTGCGTGGAGCAGTTCTGTACGTGGGGCTGGGCTCTCCGGGCTCGGGTTGGGGGGTCTGCAGGCACTGCCCAGTGTCACTGCGTGCCTGGGGCCGGGGGGCCGTGCCCCGGCGGTGATGGACCCCCCCGGGCCTCCCCCAGCTGAAGCCAGCCAGCAGGTCGTTTACCTCTCGGACGAGCTGGCCCGCAAGGCAGAGGACACGGTGCGGCAGCAGGAGGAGATCAGCCAGCTCCTGGCGCAGGTCGTGGACCTGCAGCAGAAGTGCCGCACGGTGAGTGTGGCCCCCCCGTGCCGGGGGGGGTGCTTGGGGGCAGGGGTGGGGGCACAGGGCACAGCTCCCTGACCTGCCCGCTCCTGCCCGCAGTACGTCTCGGAGGTGGAGGAGCTCCAGCAGCACCTGGCCGTGGCGAAGGAGGTGCAGCAGCAGCTCCGGATGGAGGTGAGGCTGGGGGGGGCCTGGCCAGGGGTGCCCTGGCTGCGGGGGGGGGGGGGGGTGGGGGGGGGGTCCTGCCCTGCCTGAGCTGCGCCCATGCCCGCAGCTGCAGGATCTGCAGGAGAAGTACGCCGAGTGCGGCGGGATGCTGCAGGAAGCCCAGGAGGAGGTGAAGAACCTGCGCAGCCGCAGCCTCCCCAACAGCACCGTGAGCCGCTACGGCGCAGCCAGCCTCCTGCCCGTGGTGAGTGGGGGGCACAGGAAGGGCTGGGCGGTGGGGGGGGGGGGGGGCTCCCCTCTCCCCTCTCCCCTCTGACACCGGCTCCTCTGTGTCACCAGGACTCGCTGGCAGCTGAGATCAAGGGGATGATGAGGAAGGGCACAGACAGCTCCTCCTCGGACTACAGGTGAGCAGGGGCAGCGGTGGCTGGTGCTGGGCCGCGAGATGGGGGGGGGGGGGGGGTCCCTGGGGGGCGGCTCAAGGACCCGACCCTGCCCGCAGGAGCTACCTGCGCGTCTTTGAGACGGTGAAAGTGGTGAACCAGGCGGCCAAAGCCAAGACTTGCTTCGAGTCTCCCCACAACACGCCGGGCTCCAAGCCGTTATCAGCTGCCCCTTCCGGGGGGGCCAGCACCCCCCGCACCTTCTGCTCCGGCTCTGAGGGCGCCCGGTGAGTGCTGCAGCGGGGCCTCGGTTCGGGTGGGACAGAGCCCTGCCTAGGAGCGAGCTGTTGATCACGTTAATCGGTGCCATGAGCCTGGGGCTGGCACGGCGTGGGGGGGTGCAGTGCAGGACCAGGGCCCCAAGCACCCTAACCCTGTGCCCCCCCCCTGCAGGGGTGAGGGGTCCGGGGAGGGGCCCCGGGCGGCCCCGGGCCGGCAGGACCTGGAGGCAGCGGTGCAGCGGCTGTCGGCGCGGCAGCAGAGCCATGCCTCGGAGGAGCGCTCCTTCTTCGAGGCGGAGCGGGAGCGCAAGCTGTGGCGGCTGAGGGACGGGGAGAGCTCCAGCGGCTTCCTCACCCCCAGCGAGAGCATCGTCTCCGCTGGGACCAACCACTCGGGGGGCTCAGAGCTCACGGCCGGCTCCGGCTTCTCCCTCGGCTCCCTCACCTACCTGCCTGACAAGCTGCAGATCGTGAAGCCCCTGGAAGGTGAGGGGTGGAGGGGGCTTCCCGCTGTGCAGAGCTGGAGGTGCTGGGAGGGTCCCCCGACACAAGCTGAGCTGTCCTGGCTGTGTTTTACCACCCCACCCCCCCCAGGCTCTGTGACCCTCCACCACTGGCAGCAGCTGGCGCGGCCCAACCTGGGCGGGATCCTGGTGCCCCGTCCCGGGGTGCTCACCAAAGACTTCAGGCAGCTGGACACCGACCTGGAGGAGGTCTACAGCCTCCACGACCTGGAGGAGGACGATGTGGACGCCAGCTCCTTCCAGCTGCTCCCTACCTCAGTGCCCACCAAAGCCAAGGAGCGCCGCGGGGGTGAGCGCGGGGTGAGGGGGTGGAGGGGACCCAGCCCCCGGGACGCTCCTGCCCTCCTGCCCCGGCTGCCCCTCGCTCTCCCCTCCTGCAGCAGCAGCCTGTCCCTGCCCCCCGTCTGTCCCCGTGGGGATGCTCTGTCTGCAGCAGCACCAGGGCTGTTGTCCTGCAGCCGCCCTGTCAGGCCGAGCCCTCCCTGTCCAGCCGGCGTGCACTCGCTGCAGCCCGGGTGTGTGGAAGGGGCAGGTCTGGGAGAAACGTCGCTGCCTGTTTCCTCTTGCGCTCGCAGTCCCCTTCCCTGAGCCACTGGACCTGTGCCTGTGCATGCAGCTTTGTGCTGGGGCTGGCAGCTCACGGCCCAGCTTCGCCTCTCCTGCCAGCCCCAAGCCCTGCTCTCTGCCTGTGTTGTCCCCCCCCCCCACCCCATTAACCCGCTGTCTCCTGTCCCTTCCAGTGTTCCTCTCTGTTAACAACCTCCCCCAGACCCCATCTACCTTCACCATCACTACCTGCCACATCCTCCACCCCACCACTGAGATCACCACGGTGACACCCAGGTAAGGCGCGTGGCCCCCCCACCGCCTGCACTGCCTGCACCGTCCCCCCTCACCCCACTCCTCCTCCCCCCGTGCCTGGCTCCGCGCAGCTCGAGGGAGCAGCGGGCTGGGGCTCAGCTCCAGCACCTGATGCTGGGAGAGATGCTCGGCGCTTGAAATGTCCCCAAATCTGGCTCCTTGCCTGGCTGTGTGCCAGGGGCTGGGGCCGGTCCCCCCCAGTCTCTGCGCGGAAGAGCCTTCCTTGGGCTGGGCAAGGCTGGGCTCGCCCTGGGGACAGAGCAGCGTTTGCTCCCAGCACTGCCTGGGCTTTGCCTTCCCTCTGCTGCGCTCGTGCATCCCCCAGGCTGGGCTGGAGCAGCCAGGCCCTGGGCTGCCCCTTAATTAACGAGCACTGCTGCTAAGCCTTAATGAGCCCCTGCAAGGCTTGTTGGGGGTTGGTGTGAGCTGGAGTTCACTGCACGCTGTCAGACAAAACCCTTCATGTCTGGAAAATGTTTGTGGAACAGGGGCCGTGACACCTCCCCTCCTGGGAGCTGGGGGGGAGGGCATGGCTGCAGCCCCCCCAGCTCTGTGCCACGAGCTTTGGGGCACTTGGGCAATGCTGCAAGTGTGGGGGTCTCCCACAGCCCCAGGCTCATTAGGTGAAGGAGGAATGGGGGGGCCCTGCTCTGCCTGGGGATCCCCTGCAGCAGCATCCCCTGGGCCAGGGTCCCCCACTGACCCCCGCTTCTGCTCTCTTCCCCTCCAGTCTGTGTAACGCCGTTGTGCCTTCTTGTGGGCCCTTTGAGGGGCTGAGCCGTGGCAGCCCTTCGCCAGAGCCGTCTTCCCCTATGCTGGCACCTGGCCCTGGACCCCCGAGCACCCCCCGGGGACTCATCAGGCTCTTGCTGGTGCGGGGCATCTCCGCCTCCGTGCCAGGGACTGGGTCGCGATGGGCCCCTCCGCTCCTCTCCCCGGACCTGCAGCAGGCTGACACCCGGCCCTTCCCTGCGCCCGGGGGGCAGGACGGACCCTCACCCAGGAGCAGCATCTTCAGCTTGAACCTGGTGGAGAAGCTGCAGCGCCTGGGCCTGGACAAGGTGGTGGCTCGAGGGGAGATGTCCTGCGCCCGGGGGGAGCCCAGGGCACGCTGACGTGATGCTGCTGCAGAGCCCCCAAGCTCAGGATGAGACGTGTCGTCCTCATCACCCGCCCCTGGGGGAGCGGAGATGGGACGGGCAGCTCCGGGTGCTGCCCCGGGGCCCGGCAGCCCCCCCAGCACCGGCGCGCGGGGGCTTTGCCCTGGCTGCGAGGACGCGGTGCTCCCCGGCCCCGTGTGACGCTGTGGCAGGGGGGCCAGGTGCCGGGAGCGTGGGGTGATGCCGGGGGCTCTGGGGGAGCCAGCTCCGGGCAGGGGGTGCCGGCTGACCCTGTCCCCCAGTGTGGGGGTGCGGACCCTTCGCAGGAGCCCGTTGCTGGTAATAAAAACTCTTTCTGCTTCTGCTGAGGGGCAGCTTGGTGCTTTGGGGCTCTCCGGGCTCCTGCAGCGCAGGGTGATGCTCGCTCGGTCCGGGGGGGGACCCGCCTGTGCCAGGGGGAGACACCCCCAGCCCAGCCTGGGCCCCTGGCCAGCATCTGGGCTGGTTTTTAATGGAAATGGTGGTTTTAAAGTCTTTCCTGCCCGTAGAATAGCAGAATAGCAGCAGCCCCCCTAGCTCAGGGTGGCCTGTGGTGGGTGTTTCTCGGGGTGTAGCTGTTGCTCCCGGCGGCTGCGTCCCTCGCCCCCGGCCAGGCCCCTGTCCCCGTCAAATAAATGGGAAGTCACAAATCGGCTCCTGCGTGTCGTGTCTGCTGCCGTGGGCCGTGTCTGTCCTGCGCTTCCCGGTGGGGCTGGGGGCGAATCCCGCCGGCCTCCCCCGCCCCCCCCCAGCTCTTCCCAGGAAGGGCGCGAGCAGCAGCTGCCGCAGTGCCAAAGCTTTATTGCAGGAAGAGGCGTGCGCCGAGCGTGCTGGTGCTCAGCACCGCGCCGCCGGCCCCGCGGCTACGCGGCATCGACCGAGCCCTCGGCGCTGCGGCGGCCGAAGTCCATCCAGTCGGGGTAGTAGTGGTCATGCAGAGCCTCCATCCCCTCGTCCCCGTAGCCCTTACGGTCACTCAGCTCTGCGGGGACAAGGGCAGCAGGTCAGAGCTGCCCCGGGCTGGGGGTTGGGGGGGTGGAGGGGGGCCAGGCTGTGCCTCACGGAGCCCCCTGAGAGCCGCCCACCCCACACCTCCCACTACCTGTGAAGATGTGGGGCAGGAGCTGGGAGATGAGGTGCTTCTGCTCCTGGGCCGGGGCCTTGGGCCAGGCCCGCCGGACCAGGCTGGCGGGGGGCTGGCGGGGGGCCCCCACAGCGCCTGGCGCCTCAGCCGTGGGCCGGCACAGGCAGGCGGTCACCGCCGCGGCGA